CGACTTAACTTAATTATGCTCAAATCTTTTGCAGCCTTGCATCTTCCCGTGCGCTATTTACAGAACTTAAAAAAAAAAAAAAAAATCCCCGAAAGTCTTTAATTCTTTAATTCAATGGAGAGACTTGTTTAGTATTTGCCTTTAAAACAGAATAAAATATGCTTTTCTTCTAAATTATTCTCTGTAAAGTGCTTGAATAAACGCTTACTTAAAACTCTCCATGATTTTCATATATGAACGTATAAAATTTTAATAAAAATGTTATTTATTTATTTAATTATTCGTGAAATTCGTTCTTTTCTTGTTAAATGAATTATCGCGTGATATACGATGCGTGTAACAACGGAGCTTTCTATTTTTACTTTATTATTTTATTCTTTATTTTTTCCCTCAAATTACACAATACTTTCTTCTACGTATATATATATATATATATATATATATATATATATATATATTATTTCATACAGGGTCACAAAAGTCGTCCTTAACTTATTAAGATTAATAAAGTCCTGGTTTATTTCGATTTGTCGGACATCGCTAAAATGATGCTATTGTACTTTAAATGCTGTTTAATTTGCTCTTTTAATATCGTGCTAAATTAACATAATAAGTCGATTAATTGACTAAACGGCCGAAACGCATGAAAGATCCATTTGTAATTGAGAATAGATGTAAAGAGCGTTGTTACATTGTATTGTTATATTTCGACATTTTGTGTAATCGAGATTTATATTTAAAATGTGTCGTCTTCGGTCTTCGTAAGCTTACCCTCGATCATAAATAATTTTCATTTTAATGAAATATATATTTCAAATCACAAATACACGGAGCTTCGTAAATTTTTCGCTTGCTATTAATATACGTCAACGCCGACCGGTAATTCACAATATCCCCAGTCACCAAATGTCAGCCGTATTATACAATAGAAGCTCCTTCCTTCCTCCCCAAAAAATCATTTAATGCTCCGCTACTCCCCTCGCACCTGTAATAACAGTCGCATCTAAGGAAAAAAAAAAAAAAAAAAAAAAAAAAAAAAAAATGAAAGGAAAAAAAAGGAAAAGAAAAAAAAAATTATTCGATAGGAGAGCTAGTGCAAACACAAGCTGCAGCCAATGCATCCGAGCTTTTGTTCCAGAGTCAAAGGAGAGAAAAGTTAAAGTCGGACGTGCGTAGCTCGGTAGGTAGTAGGGCATTATCCGACAAATTTGGGTCCCGTGCGACCCTCCGTTATTGCGCATTGATCTCAATTTACCATGCTAACGCCCAAACGAGTAGCGGCGGTCTTGGGGCACTGAAACTTTCGCGCCGCTGGGGGATGCGGGACCGCGGCTCTCGCTATCTACCTTTTCCGCGCCTCAACCATATCATTTATGTGCTTGGGCTTTTCTTTGACGACAACAGCCATAATAAACTGCCTGTAGTCGGCGAAATTAGTTGAAGCAACTATTAGTCATTCATAGTCAGCATTACGAAGAGTCCCGCGGAATAATTCGTTGACTTAAGAGTTTAGAGAACTTGGGACTTTATTTCGCGTAAAACGCAAATTCGCTATAAAAGTACTTTAACAACGAAAACACCCGAACAAGCTTAAAATTGCCGTCGACTTCGTCGTTCGATATCGTCGTTGGATTTTCAACTCGAGTGGCCGCTCAAATTTCTCAATATGCGACATCGATGTTACGTGAAAATTAATGTACTAAAATTTCAGCAAGCCCTCGTGTAAAATAAAATAAAAGTTTATCCGCATCGAACGAGTCGAAATTATTAATCGCTTTGCGATTTACTATAAATAAATGGCGACGCTTAAAGTGCAGCAATGATTCTACATATTTAAATGCAACTTTGTGTACGATAAGCCAACGAAGAATAATGATTAATGGTTAAGTAAAGTGAGCGTGTGGGTAGTTCTTTTGTTAATAAAAGGTGAATTCCACTGTTATGTTTCGTAGATGCAACGATAATAGCATTTACGACTGAGTAAAATGTAATTTTCAAAGCACATTTCAGGTTGAAAAATGAACGATAAGTGATGTGTTTAACAAGAATCCATTTTCCGTGCTTAGTATTATATGGGGGGGAGGGGGGAGGGGGGACACGCACACCTATACAATGTGTGTAAAGCTAACGATGGAACTTGGTAAACTAAATTTTACAAGCTTGCGATTCTTGTGCTCTGAACATTGTGCCTACAATCGAGGCAAGTCAGCAGAAACCATAAACCAATTAAATTTCAGACAACAGTGCCGCATGGTCGAAGGAAAAATTTACCATCGCCAGTGCGAGCCTGTATTGTACAAATACTCATTGCTATAAAAACTTCACCAATGTGAATTTCATGAGATCGTAAAATTTCCCAATAATTTCGATGTACGCGTCATTAACAAAAAAAAAAGAAAAAACAAACAAACAAACAAAAAAAAACAACAAAAAATAAAAAAAAATTAAAAAAAATTAAAAACAAAAACAAAATTTATAATAATTAATAACAATACACGTAAATGTGTATTAAATAACAAATTGTATGAAATAAAGGAGCTATGAAAGGAAAGACATCTTAGGATCCTAATCGATAAAAATAAACTAAAAAGCAACTGGTAGTCGCGTTTGTTTTTATCGTTGTTGGCTAATTAACAAAAAATTCTCACCATTTAGCAATAAATAAAGTGAAATAAAATAACGCGTTACATGTGAAAGGCTGAAATTCCCGAGAGAAAATTTCCTTTTAATCACATGTGACTTTTACGCAAAATTGACTTTTTAAAGTCTGATTGTCGAAACGATACTGCAAAAATTGTAATTTAAGATTCCTTGTATCACTATTATTAGTGTTCAATGTATAAAAAATATAAATCCACTAATTTTATGGTTCGATTACGAAATTACTTGATTAGATGTAGAGGATGAAGAGGTGAAATTTCAATGCTTGCACCCTTATTGTCAATTGCCATGAATAATCCGAGTTTGTAAAAGTGCAAGTGCATAATTTCTATGGAAGGTCAGTGAAATGTAACTTTTGTTTTAACTTTTGTATAAAAACAAGATTAATTTATCAAATAATTCAGCAATTATTGCCATTAAATATCATTATTACCTAATCATTTTCGTTGAATTAACGATTGCAATTTTCAATTAACTTCTAATTAACAATTCCTTCACAATTAAAAATCTTCCGATTGTTTTAATTAATGACACTAGATTGATGTTTGACACGCGTAAATATATATATATATATATATATATATATATATATATTTTTTTTTTTTTTTTTTCAATTCTGCCCACATTTTGTATGCTTCATTTGAATCGAAGACATCATAATACTTCAGCGCTTTTCTTCACATTCGACATAAACATTATTTCAGCTCTTTATCATCGACTTATCGAATTTTCATTTAATTATAGCCAATCGAATAAGTTTACAATAAATACCCAATAGTCCAAGACAAAACGCTGAGTCACTAATTTAGCAGATATCGTAAGATTCTCGAAACGTATTTTAGAAATTTGATTTAATAAAATTCACAATGCTGGTTATTATATACTACGTTGATTATTCTCTTGATTATCAAATTCACAATTTCTCGCGACAGATTGAAATTTGATCGTAGAACACGGTAATCGAGATGTGTGGAAGCCGGGCACGAGATAATGCACATCTTACGGGAACAATATTGTCCAAGCACTCTTTTTACACCCCCCAACAGGAGAAAAAAGTTGGATCGATTGTAATTGAAGGGACTCGCTTACATCATCGTCGGGGCTAGTAATTAATTAACCCTTCACTTTGTCAGCCTAACCGCGTTCTAAATTCCCATGATTTCCATTGCACATGTTTCATTAAAGAGATTTTAGAATATTTAGAGTGCAAGAGGAATTTTGGCGCTGAAACACGATCATCCAATGTCAGCAGTATTTACATAAAGTGTATTTATTTCAACAGGCAGTTGTCTCGGACGGGTTTGCGAAATAAAAGTTGCAGAAGGGGAATCTGATTAAGGAGCATCGGCGAGTGCGATTGGAGGACAAGGAATAATGAACGAACGGTAGGGAAGAAATTGATTTTATGAACGTCGGGGCCGGGGGCTGAGAGAAGTCGCACGGCGCCAATTTGACAAGATACAAGATGTTTTCAAGATATCTTGAAATTGTTGCATCGATGTTCCCGGGAACTCCGGGACCTGCGCTCCCTATTCCGCGCCACTACCCCGTACCCCACGAGGCTTTAAGAAAGAATCGTTAGAGTCCAGAGGCACACGGACGCGCGCGCGTACATCCCTACCACGACCCAACCAACCCCCGGCAGTGAAGTCGAAATCGCCGCTACTGATTTACCTGGAAGTGGTGAGCGCCGAACGAACGCTGATAAGGGCAGACCTTGAAGACACAACGTCCTACCCGCGAGAGCGCGTGGCGGCGGCGGCGGCGGCGGCGGCGGCGGCGGCGGCGGCGGCGGTGGTGGTGGTAGCAGCGGCGGTGACGGCGGCGGCAGCGGCAGCGGCAACTGCGAGGTTCCGTCGGGTGGTGCAGTGGTGGGGTGGTGGGCGGTGGGTGGCGATGGGTGGCGATGGTCGGAAGACCGGGCAACCGGCGTGCGCTGCTCGGTGCTGCGGTTCCCGAGGTTGCCGGTGTCGCCGCCGGGTCACGGGTGGCGCTGGCCACGCAGCGCCCGTCGTGATAGGATAGTCAGTCAGTCGCCGGACGCCGCGCGGGGTGAGTGCACATAGATACGTCCGTACGTCGCACGCGTTCCTCTCGTTGCACTCGTTGCACTGGCTTTTTACCCTTCGGCAAGCTCGACCTTGCTTACCCCGCCTTCCCCTCCCGTTATCCCGGCCACCGTCCCGGTGACGAAGCGGCATTGTCGACGGGAAAGCGACGGGAAAGCTTTCGGACCTGCGGTTGCTACTGCCGCTGTTCTCGTTACTGTTTTTGCTGTTGCTGCTGGTGCTGTTGTTGCTGCCGCTGCTGCCGCTGTTGCTGCTGCTACTACTGCTGCTGCTACCGTTGATCCACCTGCTACCGCAGACGCTGTCGCTTCGTTCCTCTATCGTCGGGTTTATTGCTTTTCTTATCCCATTTGCTCCCCCTTAGCTCGCTTACCGCAACGAGATTCTTGCGCAGTGCGTTGGTGATTAGCGAGGACATCGCCGAGAGGGAACCGCACCTTTACGCACGAGCTCTCCTTCACCTGGGCTTCCCGTACGCTAGGTGAGTTATGCTTTTTCCGCGTATGCCGTGATGGAAACTTGGCCGAAGGGGGCAGGGGAGACCGAGGCTTTAGTGGTGGGCCGCCGGACTGACGGCATCCGGGACAGCCCCGTGCTTTACGCCGGGGAGCTTTACGCTTCGCTCCCATAGCCGGGGATAAACTTGAGAATCTTGACCGTTTCCACGTGCCGTTATGCGCAACATTAAGCCGCGGATGCGTAAACTCGCTGTCCGAGCGATCTTGCAACCTCGCGTTGTTTAAATGAAGCAACTTTCAAGTGGAATAGTCGCGGGTGGCGGCTGGTCGGGGGGGGGGGAAAGGAGATTTCCCATGATGGCATTGTGTTTGTTTGGAATGCGGGATCGCTTGGCGAATGTGCGTAATATAGGTGAAAATTACAGTGGTGCTCCTTGTAACTGCGCCAGGAAGCTGGGAAAGTACTCGAGAGCGAAGATTAAGAATTGTTGTATCCATTCCGATGTATTGAAGCATTGATATTGTCGGTATGCGTGAGTGTTCGCCAACTTATGTTTACTTAATTCAAATTGCCAGACAAACGAAGTAATTTGATCGAAATTTTAATGAAGATTATAGGCGAAAAGAGCAATGTATATTCTGCGCTGCTGTTTGGATTTTTCAATTATGGAATGAAAATTTTGACACAACGTAATACTTCTTTTTATCATCAAAACACGGTTTTCACAACAGACAAACAGACGTCTTCAAATATAAATTTAGTGATGTATTATTAATGGAAATACAAGTTTTTTTTCTTCATATTGTCAACTAAATTTATTAACATTATTAACAAAAAGAAGGATTGTTGAATGAAACGTTAGATTTCATTAGGACATGTATGATATTTATACATTAAATGCAAATTGAAAAACGCATGAACATGATGCCGTCGTATTGCGGCGTTTGAACAAATAAGTAAACGGTCGGAACACTTTGGTCGACGAAGTATTTCCTATTTCAGGGCAAAATGTTTGGTTGCAAATTTCACATTATTCAATAATATATATATATATATATATTTTTAAATAAATATAACCTTTGTTAGAAATTTATCCATAGACTGCTCGACTCGCCACAACTAACTGATCATCGCAAATGGATTTTGACAGTTAATAATTCGAATGCAATGATATTTACTCGGGAAATTTTTTCTTCTTTCTATTATTATTATTATTATTATTATTATTGTTATTGTTATTGTTATTGTTATTGTTATTGTTATTGTTATTATTGTTATTGTTATTATTATTATTGTTATTATGCGAGACATCAGTTTGTAATTGCATGTTCAATTGATGGGTTTAGTGACTTTGATAATACATTAATAAAAACAGTCTAAACTCCGCGATTAAGCGCATTCGTGAATGTATATAAAAAATCTCGAAATTCAGCCTGACTATATACAGAGACGTAGGATTCAAAGTGTAAATTAATCTATCTTATTATTGGAAAAGTCCTTTCACAATACAATGCATTTTTTATAATACATACGTATCATACAGCTGATAATTATTCAATGGAAATTCTAATTACAACATTAATTATAAAGACGAATTTAAAAATTCCGATCTCCATACGTGAATTATTATAAAATAATTAATTCCAATATATACAAACGTAACATTACGTTTAGATTAATGTTAAAGGCGTAGAGTATCTTATTAATGATTTCGCGTTAGAAAAATAATTAATAAAAAATATTTTAATTCAAATAATACGAGTAATTAAAATAAAAATTAAACTGAATGCCGAATCCTTTTTATCAAGATTCTAGGTGTATTTATTACATTGGCATTGGCTAAAAAATTGATAATATGATTTGAACGTAATTACGGTAAATCAAGTACGGATGAATTTTATAAATGTGCAATGTCTGATGAAAATAAATGCGGATATAGAATTTATTAGCAGGTCACTTTTAAAATTCCATACAAAACTGCTTTAAAAAAGCTTCAAGATTTTAAAATCCTACCACCTCTTATTCGGAGAAAATGTACTTTCTATAGTATATAAAATATCCACTTTTTGTCATATGAAATTTTTCATACGAGCCTTTCTTATTTTAAGATATTTTTATCGATAAGTGTATAAAAAGAAAAATGTTGCACGCATTATCATCACCTGTTTTTAAACCATCAAACTATTTAAATGACAGTGAAAGTATAAATAATTGTGATTCTGGAATATGGGAGAAATTCAAGCACGTAAAAACTTGTTATGAAGGGGCGATAGTATTAAAAAAAAAAAAAATGCTCTTAACATTTTACGTTCAATTTAACGTACTTTAGCTCTGCACAATGAATAGCACAAAGGAGAAATCGCAAAAATTCAATACCACTTGGGTCTAACATTTCAATGCAAACTTAAGTAGTATATGCTATTACATATTGCAATAATATCAATATGTACCATTGTTGGCAACAATTATATTCGACATTATACGTGAGCCGTTATTTATGTGAAAAAAGTTTTTCTAATAGTGATTTTCCAATGAAAGATAGGCTAATCTATGAACTAAATAACCGAGCAATCACGATTAAACAAAATTCATCTTCAAGATTAATTTCATGACGATTTGTACTACCTTCGTATTCATTTATACGAATAATAATTATTCAGCCTACAAAGTAATACATACATTTTCGCTACTCAAGAAGCGGCATATGACATTTCACATAATCTCGGGAAATTATATAGCATCGGCTATTCATACATTTGCAAAACCAAAGTGTAAACATACATGTGAAATTTATTTAACAACGCAAATACGCATAGAATCATAATAGGGAATAAATTGCGTGTCTAATATAATCTCATGATGAAGTACATGAATTAGCATTAGGACAGCAATTTTGTCCTACGACAATATGCGGTTAATTTCTGAAGACGATCCGTCACGTATCCTAAACGTATTAGAAGTTAGGCACGCAATCGACAAGAAATAGCCATTGAATCCCGAGCGTGTCAGGGCCTTCGACTCGGTAATGGAAAAACTCAACTATATGCACTTGCGATTGAACGTACCTCACTCGGCTTGCCCTCCTCTGGCACAAATGCAACACGTGCACGGCAGCGTCGACGCTGCATATCTCGTTTGTGCAAAATTTATATTCATTAGATAAAAGTGTGTGGCTCGCCAGCATGTAGATCCGTAAAATGGAGCTGGCTGAAATAACTTTACGAGCGATTGCGCAATGTGCGAGCGCATTTGCATATTTAGTTTCATACGCGTAAACTGAACACTCAACTAGTCCGAATTCACGTGTTTAATGTGACGTCGAGATGATTATTATTTACACTAGGCTAAATGAAAAATCCCTCGAGGTGTATTGTAATCGTATGAAAACAGTAGCAGCCGAGCTTTGGGAACGTAGAGATGAACAGGAAGAATAAAGCAGATAGGGCACGCGAAAATTATTTTTCAAGTCAACGACGGGAAATTCGTGAATTTTTTTTATTAATTAATCCGGGCACAACGTTCTTAAGCCTAAATTGCATAATGGACATTTTTGTTTCTATAAAGTAACGGAAATAAATTAGAGCGATACTCCATTTTAATATAATGGGCTTTTAACACTAAGCGTGCATAATTAGGTTTGTTACTTTAATTAAACTGAAATACTGGATTCAATTTTCTCATAATTAATTATGTATGTGCATATTACTTAAAATATTTTACCAATGATATTAATAAATGTCTATCATTTTGTGCAACTAATCATGAATTATTGACTAACAGATTAGATTTTTCGTAAAAAATTTCTTATGTCAGAATAGATATTTATATCGATAATTTATGTAAAGAAGCATTAAAGCTTTTAACTTGTATCAATTTGGAAAATTTGGAAACTCCTATCAATTTCGAAAACTCTTATCCTTTAAATTGAAATAAACATTAAAAAGACAAAGAAAAAAAGAAACGGATTAGGTGTAGTATTTTCTTAATATTATTACACATTCTCTTGAAACTATTGCATATTCTCCAATGTGATTTTATTATTCACAAGATTAAGATTACGTTTACATAATATTTTATACCCTCGCATTGTTAATAATTCTGTAGTAAGGGCAAATTGTACAGTAATTATTTTAAATTTGATTGTTTTAAGACAGCGGGAGCTTTAACGAACATTTTAACGATCAAGATATAATGTATTTATTATTAACGACCATTTCATAGTCCATGTTATTGAGAACAAAAAAAAAAAAAAAAAAAAAAAAAAAAAAAAAAAATGTTCATAAGAAAGTGTTAAAAGTTTCAAAGTTTTCATATATCAATATATCTGTTAATATAAATTTCATTAAATTACAATCTTTACACTTATACAGTACCTTGTCATTGTTCAAATTACTCTAGTTGAAGTGGATGGATTAACTTTGATAAATCATGGATTTTGCTTCGCCTACGTGAAATTCCACTCTAATAATTTTAGAAAATAAATATGATTATATGGCTATATAATTCCTGAGAACATTTAGAAAGAAATTAATATATACATAAATAGTAAGTTTACGTCACGAGAAATTTTTTTGCATTTATTCTTACCAGCTAATTTTAATAATTCTGCAATAAATCTTATCTACATTTGGATAAGAGACTGTTGGAAGATAAACAAAAAAAAACCGACTTGACAAATAAGATGTACTTAATGATAGATCTAGTGTTTTCAAGATATGAAATGTTTAGCTATTTATTTATTTTTTTTTTTGTGATTTACCTCGAAATTATTCGATTGTACTAATAGTACTTACTCACTCACTCATACATATGTGCAAAATATATACCGATATCCGATATAAGAGAAAGTAAAAAAGTTTTTGTTTTGTCGATGTATAACTATCTAATAAAATTGATTACTAATCATTTAAAAATAAATATAAATATATTTATTGATATCTTATTAATGTATTAATAGATATTATAATTATCGCATTTTACATAAACGGTTGATTAAAAATATGAAATCACTATTATATATTG